TCGTTCGAGGGGACAGTGTCGTACGGCATTCGGATGACCGCGGCACGGGGCACGTCGACGTCCAGGTGGGACTACCGCGGCAACTTGACGTGGCAAAGCAAGGTGGTTGTGCAGGTGCCCCAAGGTTTGGGTGTTATGTTGAAGTCGCCGATCGTGGAATCGTTTGTCGGTGACTCGTTTGTTGCATTCAACACATCGGTGTCGTTTGTGATGAGCAATGTGACGCTTCATATGATGGATGAAGTTTTGTTGGAATGCTCGTTGTTGGGCAAGGCAAGCGCCCGATCCGTGAGTGTGTATGCCGTGGAATCGCTTTCAAACTATCCGACATCACACTTTGGTGGTCCTATGTCGAATGGTCAGTTTACGGTACCCAGTCGGTCCATGGACGGTGACACACAACGGACGCTGCGTGTTGTTGTCGTACAAGTTCGTATGCCCTTTGGGTTTGTCGGAACCGTTCCGTATGTCATCCGACTCGGCGTTCGACGAACGAGCTGGAACTCGCAATTTGTTTACCACGGCAACTTTACAGTCGAAGACTTGGAAATCCCCTGGCCAGTGTCCATTTTGCTTCCGTACCAACCGACACTTGCGTTTGGTGCATGGACTCCGTTTGTCCTGAACGTGACGAACGTGACTGGGCTTGTCGACGTGTCGCTGAAGTGCTCTGACGATGTGACTGTGTATCAAGACGGTAAGTGGATTCTAGGCGACGCTGGAGGTTTCCACGTCGCGACCGTGTCGAATGAATCGTTGGTGTCGTGGACAATGTCTCCAAACGTTGTTGCAAGGACGTCGACTACTGTCCAGTGCAATGCAACCACAGCGTCCGTGGACATTCCATCACACTCGACGTCAGTCTCCTGGACTTACGAGTACTTGCCAAACACTTCGCCAATCATGCTGCCGTCGACGGTACTGCGATTCACGGTCGCGTTCAATGCGACGGTGAAACTGGACTTGTCAACGCTCTTCACGGACGATCCGGACGTCCGTTCCTTCGCCACGACAGAATGCTCCTTGTCGTGGAACGCATCGCACATCCAATGGATCGAGTTGGACGAAGTGGCTGTCGCCAGCTCGTTCCAGCAAGTACGACAGCCACTCATGAACTGTTCCAACACCTCCATCGTGCATGTGCATCCTGCCGTGGGATTCCTTGGCGACGCACGAGTTATCTTGCTGATATCAAGTCACTCGACGGTGAAGCCAGTCACTCTACAATTCCATGTGCAAGCGCCTATCCCAACCCTCCGCGTTTTTGCACAATCTACGTCATCATCGATTCAATCCCGCGCGTCGTTGGTGCTTCTAGAAGCAAGCGCACCCCATCCTTGCCATCTCCAACTCCAGATGGCGGACTTGGTCCGATTTCAGTTCCAAGGTCAAACGTATACGGGCAACGTGACGTTAACGCAGCGTTCCCTGCGACAACAAGCTATCTCCATTTTACCCCCGGACCAGTACATGCCTCGTCAAGTGGTAAATCTCAGTGCGTTCTCGACGTGCCCCTTTGCCCAAAGCATGGCCGTATCGACCCAATTCATCATCTACTGGCTGAGGGCATCTCCCCCATCGCTCAACGTGTCTTGCCCACTGCGCATCCTTGCAACAGATGCCTTGTTGGCAAACATCACGTCGGCATTGCATCCGCAAGACGCTGACACAGGCAAACTAACGCTGGACGTGGTGTTCAATTCAAGTCAGCTCTCGTTAAACAATCGCGCGACCATGCTCGAGCCCAATCGCTTTCGCGTGGACGCAGGGCAACCATATGCCTCGTTCATACCGCTTCGTTTCTTCTCCGGGGTTGTCGCCGTTCGCTTTATCTTGACAAGTTATGCATTCGACACGACTGCAAGTGCCGTGGTGGACCAGAACATCATGGTGCTTCCAGTTGCATCCAGTCCAGTCGCAAGGTTGACAACGTCGTTGCTGTGCCAGAACGAACCGATGCAACTATCGGTTGTCCTGGACCCAGTGTCAGTGACGGGATACATCGAATCGTACCGCGCTCTTTTGATTCTGGATGCGCTCAACGTCGCTGCGGTGGCCAACTTGACTTGCGCTGTCGTGTCGACTCGTTTATACTGCCCCCTCACCCCGGGATTTGTCAGATTCTACAATCAATCGATCGTGGTCATCACGCGCAAGCAGTTTTCTGGCTCCATGAACGTATCAACCTTAGTCATTTCGGCCGTCAACACGCCGCCGGCCTGTCTCGAGAACGCTTTGACTGTCCAGGACGTACAAAGTTGCTGCAGGGACTCGCCAGTTTGCAATGCAGTCGTGGACCAGTCGACGCTGTACGTTCAAGGAATTCCTCAGCCACCCGAATTTGAAGTGACGCCAACTCGCTTGTCATCGACGATACAAGGGTCGTCGTGGGTCTTTGTCAGACGAGCTGCACTGGCAGACCCATCACAAACGCTCGCTATGTACGTGGCATGTCCGTTCGGGGTGCTGCGCAATATCTCTCAAACGCGCGCTCAGTTGCCAGTGCCTTTGAAGCGATCCAACTACTCGTCATCGATGGAAGCGTACCAAGTGCAGTTGTCTGGCGTAACGAATTCCATGGGGATTGAATTTGCATGGCATTCCGTTCCGTCGACACTGAACATGACATGTTCACTTCATGCAGTTGTGACCGAGCCCTTGGAAGGCACAACGCTTACGACGACTATAGCGATTGCTGTCGAGCTTGTCCAAGTGTCTCCATTGGTACAACTTCGTCAAACGTACTTTGAAATGGACGAAGGAAGGCCGTTCGCCCTACCACTGGTTGTCTTGCCCACAGTCCAAACCGTCACCCTTGAATGCCCTCCACGATTGTGTGCCAATATTACGTGGTCGAATGGGCCCTTGACACGGCAACTTGAAAACGTAGCCGTGCTGTCGGGTGCCGCGCTGCGAAATGGGTCGTTTGTCGTTACCTTGGTCAACTATACGACGGGCATCTTGCCATTTAATCTAACAGCAACGTCGTCGGACCGAGCCATGGCAAACCAAACGATCCTCGTTCAAGTGGTTGTGCAGGCATTGCCGACGTTGCCAGTGGTCGATCTTTCGCCCAAGGTGGCGATTTCAGCTGCTGATTACGTCGATTTTCAACTGCGTATCACGCCGCTCGACTGGAATGACGAGCTCAGTGCCGTCGTATCCGTGCCGTCGCAGCAATTTGTGTCGTTGTGGAGCCCAGGGTGGACTCAGAAATCGTCGAATGACACCGTCGAGGAGTATTGGATGCAAATCTCATCGCTGAACGAGTCCGTTTGGCACGTCCAAGGGATATTACGGCCAAATGTCACCGCGCCGTTCATGGTACCTGTCCAGGGAAAAGCGCGGGGCACTGATCCGTGTTGTCTAGGTCAATGTGTACGTGACGAGTACAGTCTCAACGACAAAGGAAACTGCAGTGCAGACGATTCCACTGACGGTTGTGCCGAGCGTTCCGATTGCAAGAGTTCTCACGATTGAAAGCGAAGAAGATTCGATCATTGGCATTTCCGTCGGCAATGCAAGGCATCTCTGGGATATGGAAGGCGACGTTGTCGTACAAGTCTGGATGAATGGGCAGTCTCGGCTACCACAAACTTTGTCCGGCACAAGCGTGAGAAGCTGGACGGTCCCAAGCAACGTATCGACGGTGTACATTCAAAACCAACTGCGCTTCACTGGGTTCCAGAAAGTCTACCTTGTCGGTGACGTGTACACACTCGTCAACATCGTGGTCAAGCCAAAGCGTTTTACGGCGAGGCTTTCGATGCCGTCCAGAACGACCGTGGCGCTTTCAATCGCCGCGCAAACGAGTGTGCAGCTTGCGGTCCCGCGTGGCATTCCAGTGGCTGGCACTGTTGGACTCCGCTACGTTGGGCCGCAAGGGCGTTTTCGCCTCTATGCGGTCCAAAACGCAAGCGTTCAAGTTCGCGTGGCCGGTGCGTTTGCCGGTGCCTTCCGGCTCACGCTGGAGAGCGGTGGTGGGTTCCAAATGTCGTTTGACGTTCGGATCTTTCCCATGGCGGTGGTGCCTCAGCTTTCGAATGCCCCTCCCACCCTTGTTGTGAATGCTACCCAGACCAGTGTTGTCTTGGCGCCACAGTCCGCCGACGACATTTTCATCGTGGACAGCACAACAGGTGTGCAAACCACGTCGCCACTTACATTGCAATGGCCTCGGTACCAAACGAGTACAAAAACGTACGTCACGACTGCATCGTCGACTCAGGTGGCGTCGTCGCCCCTCACCGTGTCAACGGCCCAACGAGTCGTCACAACCACTGTGGCGGTCATCGCACAGCCCGTTCCGGCTTTGGTGCAGCTGGAGCGCCTCCAATCGATCGTCGCCTTTCCGACGTGGACCACGTACTGGAACGACAACATCACGTGTCGATTCCAAGTGACGAGCCCTGACACAACGGGAAATCAGGTGGTTCGAGTGTTTGTGACAGTGAACTCGAGTCAAATCCAGCTAGTGCGGTACAACGCCACAAGCGTCAGCCCGCCCGCAGACGGCGTGGTGGAAATTATTCCCGCCAAACCGACGACATACTTTGTGCCGTCAATTCAATTGGAGCTCGTGCCTCGGTTTGGCTTTGCAGGCGACGTCCTGTTTGGGGTCGTTGCACGAAGCACCGTGCGGGACACGTCCAACTCGGTGGACACTACCGTTTCATGGAACGTCACCGTCGTCCCCACGGCCTCTGTCATCTCCCTTCAGTTCATGGCAGTAAAGTCGAGGCTGCTGGAAACGGACACGATCATGATGAACACGACCGTGGGCACCATCACGGTGTTGGAGTCGCTAACGCTGACAGTCTCGTCGTCGGCAGCGAATCTTTCCTTGGTCGAGCCACTCAAAATCGAGCCCAATCGGACCTTTTCGCTGCAAATCGCGCAATATTGGTTTGGTGTGTTTGACGTCACCATGAACGCCACCGTGCAGCACCGTATTGTCAGTCCCCGCGATCGCACAGTGGTTTCCCGCACCGTTCGAATGGAGATCGTCCCGATAGCGTATCCCCCCGTGCTCGTGGTTCCGTACGTCGTACCCAGTGCGCCCCTCATCTGGTCGCCCTTGTCCATTACGCAATTTTCCCCATTTCTTCCGAACCGAGTTGTGCCACTGGAAACCATGCGACTCTTCTTGCGGGTGTCGCAGGTGGGTTTGTCGCTGCGATCGAACACGACCGTGCTTAAAGTCATGCCGAACGTGATGCTCGAAGTTCTGCCGTCCGCCCAAGTCATGGGCACAGGTGGCGTGTACAACGTAACTTTCATCGCGATCCACCGCATTCCGTCCTCCAACACGTCAGCAACCACAACGTCGGATCAAATCCTGCGCGTCGCCGGCATATCCACCGACGTCAACTCGACCTCGATCGTTGAAGGACAGGGTATTCTCCTGTCCGTCGCGTTGCAGGCGCCGCCCCTGAACCCCGTGGCGCTGAATGTAATATGCACCAACTCACAACGAATCACTCTGAACGCCTCGACGGCAACGCTGAATGACACGAGTCCATGGAATATCGCACTGGCCACGACACGGGACAACATTGACCGAGGGGACGTGCGCGTCAACTGTTCGGTCCAGGTAACAACCCAGGATCCGTATTACAACCAAGTGGATGGTGGGCGGACTGGTTTGTTCATTCAAGACCCGGACGTGTCGGGTTTTGACATTACTGGGCCGATGTCGAACCGACGCGTCCAGCTCGTCGTCGCTGAAGGGGTGTTTGGCGACAGCTACGCGATTCGGTTGAATACCATTCCGTTTGCCTCCGTCACAGTCGCTCTCTCATGTGAACAAGAACGGGTGGGCATCTTTCCGCCGACGCTGACTTTTTCCCCGGACGACTGGAACGTTCGACAAACCATCACGGTGAACGCCACCGACGATTTTATACGCCAAGGCATCGTGGACACGTGAGTGCCTCCTCCCCTCGGACCGATATCAACGTGAAAGTCGTCACTGTTCTAGGTCGATCGTGCATTCCGTCGCGTCCGACGATCCAGTGTATGCTAGCCTGGCCAACTTCACCGTTGCTCTGAGAACAATTGAGACGGCGGACCGGACTCCAGCGCCCATGGCTCAGCAGCTTTACTTTGGAGACACCGGAGCCGACTTGATTTTGACGTTCAATCGAGCGGTGGACCAAACCAATTTTACCAAGTCGAATTTCTCGTGCGCAGTCGTGTTCAACGTGACGGGGACAGGCCTGTTCGGCGACAACCCCGTGTGTTCCTGGCCCAACACTCGAACCATTCGTGTTGTGTTGGGGCGAGCTCCCACCGTTCTTCCCAAAGACATTGTCACGCTGAATGGCAACGTGTTAAAATCCACGCCGGAGGCAATCCTATCGATGTCATCAACGTCGATGCAGGTGGAGCTTCCTCGAAGGCCCCCCGTTCCACGAACGACCGTGTCAGGGCCACTCAATTTGGGTACGTTAGACCATCTCGTTTGCATGCACACTCACCAATGCAAACTGCAGGATCATGCGATCATTTGTCGTTGAACGCCAGAGCGTCTTCGGGATCTGGTGGCCGACAAATGGTATGGCAATGGACTGTGGATCCCCCGGGAATTCTGGACGGCCTTGGCTTGACCAACCAGACGATCTGGATCCCGTCGGACGAGCTCTCGTACGGCGGGGTTTACACTATAACGCTGACCTTGACAAACTTTTTCGGCATGAATGCGACGTCGGACAAACTCGTGGTCACGAAAGCCTCGATGCCGCTGCCGTCAGTGTACATTGAAGGCCCTTCGCAAGTTACGCTGTTGCGGTCGCAATCGTTGCAGCTTTCGTCCGTCGCGTCCGTGTCAACGTGTGGAAATGCGACAACGAATCCATCCATGGGGTTTGCTTGGTCCGTGAACAACGTGCCCGTCGTGTCGGAGAGTCGAAACCCACGGCAACTCAAGCTGTCCGGACTTGATGTTGGCGTCCACACCGTGACTGTTCTCGTATTCATGTCCGACAGGCCAGAAGTGAACAACACGGCCAGCGTTGCCGTCCAAATCAAACCGTCGCCGCTGACAGCGCTTATCGTGGGTGGCAACCGAACTGTCGGGAACGGCGACGACCTCCTGTTGAATGGGACGCGGTCGTTTGACCCGGACAATAGATCGACGTCGTTGGAGTACCTGTGGGCTTGTACGGACCCAAACACGGGACGAACGAGCTGCAATGGCGAAGCGATACTAGATGGTGGCGTCACTACCATAGCGCGCGACAACTTGCCGCCCAAGCAAGTGATCCAGATCACGCTAACTGTGTTTGATCCTATGACTGGACGACGGGCAAGTACATCCATCAGTCTCACCATTGTGCTGGGCAATCCACCAGTCACCAAAATTGTCTCGCTGGCCACGACCAAGTTCAATCCAGATGCAAAAATCGTCCTCTCTGGCAGCGTGTCTAGTGTGTTGGATGCTAAACCGACAGCGACGTGGGCCATTGACGGAGACCAGGATGGTTCCATTGCAGCGGCGGCGTTTGGTCTTTCAGCGGTACGACGTGATTGAGTCGATGGCCATGACATCGGCGGTGTAGGCTTCGTTGCGCATGGTTGTGGTTCCGAATTCGCTGCGTCCTGGTCGGTCATACGGATTCGTTCTCACCGGCAAAGACAAGTTCAACCAACTCAGCAGTGCCACGATGACCATTGCAATGAACGAAGCGCCCACCAGTGGCAACGTACGCACTGTTCACCCCTTTCGCTTTCATGTTACGATTCGCTTTAGGTGGAAGTGACGCCCGCGTCGGGGACAACGCTGTCGACGGTGTTTCGAATTTCGTGCAATGACTGGGTCGATGAGGACTTGCCGCTCAAGTTTAGCTTCAAGTACATTGTCGGCGAGTACTCTCCCGACGTGCCGCAAGTCACGCTGAGCGACTACTCGCTCACAACGTCGTTTGACACGGTGTTTCCGACGGGCGGCGGGCCCAACAACACGATTACCATCATTAGCTACATTGCCGACGCGCTCGGATACACGACGCAGTCCATTTCGACGGTCCAAGTCACGTTACCCCAACTGGACGCGGAAGCACAGGCATCGTTCATGCAAAACCAAACGAGTGAGCTCGAAAACTTAGCATCCAGCAAAGACCCTGGCAAAGTCCTGAACATGGTCAACATCTTGGCGTCGATGATGGCCCCAACGGTGAATGACACCGAGGTAGAAACGACGCCTACTCCATCGCCGACGACGGCAGCGCCTAGTGCCACCGACAGCGCAGGATCGCCAGCACCAACGCCGGTTCGTACTCGCCCTCCAAAGCGCTGCCCGACAGCGATCTCTGGCACGTCGTGCTCTGGACATGGGAGCTGTACGACGAATCCTCCGCAATGCAGCGACGACATATTGGAGTGTACTGCGATTTGTACGTGCGGCAACTCGTGGTATGGCACGGATTGCAGTACGTCCCAGGAGGATTACGACAGGAAGCAAAAGATGCTTGGGAGTTTGCTCAACTCGATGGCGATTGCCAACGCAAATGTTGAACCGACCCCCCAGGCTCTTGAACAGCAAAGTTCCGCCGTGGCTTCCATCGCTGCCAACGTTGCCGTGCTGAGTCCGACGCAGCAATCGCAGGCACTGGATTTGGTCGCCAACATCCTCAGCTCGTCGTCATCTGTCACATTGTCGCCCGCGACGACGGCAGCTGTCGGTCAGTCCATTTCGAGTCTATTGGATGCCACGCCCGTCGCGTCGACAGTGTCGCAAAGCGGGCAGCGGCTACTGCAAGGGCAAGACGCCAAGAGCACCCGTGTCGGCAACACGGTGTCGATGCTAGCGACCTCGATGCTGAGTGACCACGAGCCTGGGGAGGTTGCTGTCCAGCTCAACACAAAAAACTTGAAGCTGACGCTGCAGCGCCATGAACCAAGCGAATTGTCCACGACTGTGGTCGATTTGCCTTTGACAGCAGAGCAAATCAAGCGAAACTACACGAGCCCGTCGTTTGCGTTTCCAGACACCTTTTCAACGCACGGGTGCGACGATTTTGTGGACTCCCATGCTGCACTGTATGCGAGCAATCTCTACAGCGACGAAAGCTCGGCGCTGGTCAACTCGGCCGTGATGGGGCTCAACTTGAAGTGCGGCGACAAACCTCTGCCCGTGGCCAACCTGTCCAAAGGCTTTGTCATCCGCATGCGCAACAACATGCAATACCCCGTACGTTTGTCTTGCATCGCGCCAGTCCTGACGCGCCACTGCATTTGCATGTAGGCACCGCCGGCGCCATCGAACGGCACCGTCCAGTGCTTTGCCAATGACACCACGGTGACGAACATCACTTGCGACGCGGCCAACCAACTGTTCAAGATCGTCGCATGCAACGGCACGATGAACTACACCGTGTTGTACACGTGCCCGCAGTACGTTCCCGTGTCCGTGTGTCGATATTGGGATGCGTCGGTACGTGGAGCGCGGTCGGACGAGAGCGGCGTGATTTGAAATCCGGCGTGTGTAGTTGGGAGCGTGGTCGTCGGAAGGGTGTGTGCAGGTGTCGGATCCAGATCCAGACTACATTGTGTGCGAGTGCAATCACTTGACCGACTTCACATCGCAAGTGAACCAAGCCCTTCGAGCCGTCGAGGACAACGTCGTGGCGGTGTTTTCGCACAAAACGACGCTGGAAGACGTCAAGCAGAATATTCAAGTCGTCGTGACGATGGGGATCTTTTTCATCTTGTACGGAGCAGGACTGCTCTACGGCATGCGGCGCGACCGTCTCGACGCGATCGGGTACTCGCAAGAGCTCAAGAAACTCATGGAAGTGAAGAATGTCGACATGACCAACCTGTTCCAGTTGCCCAAGGTCCTCAGTGCCAAAACCCGAACTGAAAAGTTGAAAGCGCTGGTGCATGGATTTTGGAATGGCATGACCTCGAAACACCAACTGCTGTCGATCTTCTTAACCTACGACCCGGACTTTACTCGGTAGCGTCATCCCCTTCCGTTGCACGACCACGCCGATGACATTGTGGATGTAGACCCCAGCGCTTGATGATTATCTTCACGACAATCATGTCCCAAATGTTTATCAATGCCGTGCTGTATCGTCTGCGTCAGCTCGAGCCCAACATTGGCACGATGATCGTGAGTGGCCTCATATCGTCCGTCGTGATGATGCCGGTCACGCTGGCATTTGTCATGCTGTACAAAAAATCGGCCAAAAAGCGCGAGTACCTTGTGCGGTATCACTTGGAGGACAGCGAAAACGAGGTCGAAGTCCAAGTCGACGCGTATGGCAATCCAGTCGAGTACACGAAATACCAAGTGCTGTGCATGGATTTGCACGCGGCATTCAATCGAGTCGATGCGGCATCATACCAAGCCTGCCATCGCGTGCTGCAGCAAGACGGCATCGATGGGACCATGATTGGAGCGCTGTCTCGAGCGATCTTTATTGTTGTGCACGGCCATGACGTGTTTGAGCAGCCTCCGCCGCCTCTCGCGGACGAACTCGTGGTGAAGAGCAGCATATCTGACGTACGCCAGAAAAAGAGGTCGTCTCGGAAAATGTCGCGCAAGACAGTGGTTGAACGCGACCCTGTCATTTCCACCATCCAAGCCGACAACATCCTTCCGCCCGTCAACTCGCATGAAGCGATGGCAAAGTGCCTAGCTATGTGGGGCAATCAAGGCCTCCACACGGTGCTGATGAAAGTCGAGCCCACGCAGCTGTCGCCTGCAGCTACCGCACAGCTAGCTGCCCAGACGAAACTGGCCACAGACAAGTTGAACTTGTCGCGGGCTGCGTCCGAAGTCGCCGACTTTGACGGATGCCATGCGCTGCTGGAATACTGCGTCAAGTTCCACGAGTGCGCCGAGTGCTTTGCGAACGACAATGTGTCCGTACTCCGCCACGCACAAGACGAAATTCGACGTGCCAAGGAAGAGCTTGTTGCCGTCAAACAATTGCTCAAGTCCCAAGCATCTCAGCGATTTGGAGGGACCGTCCGTCGCAGTCTCGGTCGTCTGTCCAAATCCAGCATGAACGAAACCAAAACAGTCGCGCTGCATGCTGTGAAAGACCAGGTGAAGGTACTGTGGCAAGTGCTGCCAGCGAAGCTACAGCTGACCATGTGTGCTTGGTAGGTTGTCGTACACACGACGAAGCGGCACATGTCAAATGCAAACACCAGACAGAAACAAGCGCGCAAGTCGCTACAGATGGAGCAAGTGCAGATGAAGAAGCACTCCCAGGCAGAGATCCAAGCTGTCCTGGCCAACTTGAAAGGGCTGCAGCGGTGGAAGAAGCGGTATCAAATGTACATGGCAGACAAGGAATCGAAGCGACTGGCTGCCATGCCGTTGCACGAACGCCAGTTCTTTTTGAAGGAGACGGAGAAGCTGCGAAGCTTGCGGATGACGTCGAGGCTGCTGTACAACCAGTTCCTACGCCGACAGCCCGAAAGACTGCCCAAGCCGCTCTTCCCGGCCTGGGTCAACTACATTCTGTACGTCATGTGCGCGTGCATCGACGGGTTTGCTGCGTGGTTTGTCCTCCAGTTTGCGTTTACGATTGGCGGGGATCTCGCCAACGTGTTCATTGGGTCGGTTGTGACTGGCTTGGTCATGACATGGGTCGTGAGCGACCCGATCAAGATTTTCTTCAAAATGGGGATCCTCCCGGTCTTTGCCACGGCGCTGCTCGCCAACACGGGCATATTTGACGCCTTGAGTGCGGAAACCTTTGCGTTGGGCGCGACCGCCGCGGTAGGAGTCGCTGGAGTCGCCAAGTTACGAGGCAAAAAAGCACAGGCGGCTGTCGACGCTGCCTTGCCTGGCGCGAATTCTCCGAAGAAGATGCATGTGGCCAACGAAGCACTGGCTCGAGTCCGCCACGAGCTGTCCGATATGCCAAACGGATCGCCCACTGAAGCTATCGTGGCAGAAATGGAAGCCGCGACACAGGTCGAGTATCTCCAAGCATGGGAGCAGGTACACGAATCGTCGTTAGCGGCAGAGAAGCTCCCAGACGACGCGCTACTCAACGAGGCGGAGCGCAAGCGCCGGAGTGTCGTGAAGCGCACTGGGCCGACCCTTTCGTCGCTGCCACCGGCAACCATCAACCACCCCGATCATGTGCTATTCCCAGACAACTACATGGACATGCCAGCACCGTCCGACGTGTTGGTGGACGTCTCTGGGCCATCCACTGGTCTTGTCCCATTCTCGACAGAGACGTTCAACGGCGACGTGTGCCAATGCGGCTCCCACGTCGCCCTGGCGGATCGAGTGAAACACGTGACTCTTGAATGCTCACACCGCATGGTGCAGTGCCGAAACCCCGACTGCGGTCTCTTCATGCCAGCGCGCGGCCTTGCTGGCCACGAAGGTAGTCAATGCCGCCTCGTGCTGTGTGTGTGCGACCGCATGATTCCCAAATACAAGTTACGCCAGCACCAGCTCTCAGACGAGTGCGCGGCCAAGATTGTGCGCTGCCGGATGGGCTGTGGCATCGCCACGTTGTCCGTCAAACACCAAGATAAACACGAGCGGACAGAATGCCCCCTCCGTCCGATGGAGTGTCCAAAATGCCATGTCGTGCTGCAAGTCCGTGACCATCCTGCTCACGACCTTGAGTGCATTGGTACCAACGACGTTGAAGCCCCGTCGCCAGTGCGGGTGAAAGGACCGGCGTTGGCTATCGTCGCAGGCACGACCAAGCCCCTCCCCAAACGGAAGCAGTTGGCTCCCCTTCGGCTAACCAAGCGAGTGTACGTGGCGTCCATGGCGGACGACGACTCTGACGCGGTCGGCAGCGACGAGCCCAAAGTGACTCCAATGCGGATCACTGGCCCGCCCTTGGCAGCGTCTCTAGTAGAGGCCCGAATTCAATCCGGACTCGCGTCCGCCGCCAAGAGTACGCTGGAAGAGCGAACATTTCACAGGGCCCAGGCCCGCTCCTTCCTTCAGGAAAACACGCGCAGGGGTCAGTTCGACAGCACGGAAAACTCGCTGTTTGGCTCGAACGCCACGCAACCGTCCAAGCCATCGGGTAGTGGTGCCATGTCTCCGGCAGTCGCCGCACGGTCGAGTCCTTACAAGCTGAAGCAGAGGGCCATGTATCACGGCTCAGACGATGAAGAAGAGGTCGCCGACGCGTAGTGTGGCGATGGCATGTGAGTCAAACATGTCAACCGTTCGAAAGGCGAACTCAGCCTGGGCGAACCACTTCGCTGACGAAAGTGTCGGCTGTACAGAACGCCCGACGCGATAGGTGAAAACGAAAGAAGCGGATTTATTCCACTCGTTTCAAGAAGCTGTAGGTGCAGGGCATTGCTGCACAGAATGCTGCATTCGACAATGCCACGACAAGTCGAGGCACGAGGCGAGTTAAGTTAAAGGAAAACGCTTGTTTTGGTGGCGATGGGGGCTTTGCACAGTGGGCACAGGTCGGTGATCTTGGTGGAGCAGGTTTGGCACAGGCAGAGGTGCTTGCACGGGAGGAGAAGCACCGTCTTCGTTTCGGTGAGGCAGACAACACATTCAAGAGTCGACGATGGGCAGTCTGGGGCTTCGCCTGCTTGACTTTTTTTGCCAAAGAAGTACTCTTGCGTTTTGGAGGCAGCTTCGGGGTTGCGTAATATCGTGCTTTCCACCAACGAACGGGCCTGCGAGATGACGGCACACCCCCGGGTAAAGTTGTCTTGAGTTTGAAGCGCACCGGCAGTGTCGCCACGAATGGCCTGAACGAGTGACTTGGCCTGGGACAAGCCAATGCAATGATCGAGTGAGAAAGACAGAAAATGTTTCTGCGTCTTCGCGGCTGCTGAAGGATCGCGAAGGATCGTCGACTCGACGAGGGATCTCGCCTGCGATACGACGGGGCATCCCTTGGTGAAGTTGTCCTGCGTCTGGGCAGCGCCTTTCACGTCTCCCGTCAGCGCCTGGAACAGCGATTTCGCCTGCGACACGAGCGGCACCGTGTCCACAGGAGACGCCGTTGACGCTTCGTCCGAGCTCATTCGACAAAATGCCAAGAATTCCCTTGCGCAAGATCAGAAATTGCAATCGCACAGATCAAGCCAATCAAGTTTCCGATCGATAGATATGCGGAGTTTGATTGGCTGATTTTGTTTTGCGCCAGAGAGTACGGTCATTCAATAGTCTCTACTAGTAATACCCTATGTACGTAAATAGTACTACTATACTGAAGCTCGTTGGGGTTTCGAGGTTTCTCGGCACTGCACTCCATGGCATCCAACTTCGTCGCCGCTCCAACGGACCACGAAAGGTACGGCATGATGAGAGCACAAACTTGTGTCAGAGCTGGAAGAAATGATTTGAGGCGGATCGACGGGGTGGCGTAGATATAGTGGCTGGAAAACAACGATTGGAATTGAAACATGTATCGCATCATCGACTAAGCGATGCAGTCGTTCGAGCCAAGGCTGGCTTCATTCTTGCCCTCCAGCATCGCTTCAATGACCTCCTGCACTCCCAGCGCTTCCGCATAACTTGACAACGTGTTAGGCTTGCCGTCGACGAGCGCGGCCCAATGCGTCGCCAAGTCGACATCGTCGCGGTCCTTCTCTTCAACAGGAAAGTCGCTGCCGTCGGCAAGCAGTACTTGGATTTCACTGAACCATCGGCCCAGCACCAACGTTCCCTTAGTGCCTTCCCATCGAACTTGGTTGTAGCATGGAATGTCGCCACGCACATGGCCTTCAACTTGCACGGATATGGCATGGCCGTCGCGTGTAGCGCTCAAGCGGGCATTCAGGTCCGTTTCCGCCAGATTCGATTCCTCGGGATACGTGGCAGCGCTGTGGATCAACGTAAGGGGACCCACGACTCGTTGAAGGGCGAAGACGAAGTGCGACAGAACCTCCCGGGTGAACCCACCTTCTTGGCGTTCAGCCAGCCAACGTCCAGCACCTTGTTGCCACGGACGCGGCCACTGCATCCAGGAAGCAGAGATGGAAACGTTGTGGAGAGCGCCAAGGGGTTTGTTGTCACCGAAGAGAGATTCAGCCAGGGAAAGGCCTTGCGCCGTAGCGAGAGGAAAGTTGACGCCCGTGCGAGCACTGGAAGCTGCGATGCGTGCAACGCACTCCTTGGCCACAGCGCCATCCGTGCTCAATGGCTTCTCACACAGCACAGCCAAGCCGCGGTCCAACGCTTCGTTTGTCAGGTCAATGTGAGCTGCAGGAGGGGTGGCGATGTACAGCGAGTGCAGACCTTGCTGTTGAATGAGGTCGGATGCGCTGGAAGCGGCTTTGAGTTCGGGGTACTTTTCAAGAGTGGCCTGGACAGCTGACGGGTTCGCATCCCAGACATAGGTCGCACGAAGAGTTGGCTGCTTGTACAGCAGTTGCAGCATGCGCTGTCCCATCACTCCGAGTCCGATCACTCCCACGTTCTTGACGTCACTCATGGCCGCCTCCGTCCTTTTTCGCAAGTGTGTCCATTTGCACGATGTACATTCCGTCCGTTCGGATAAATCTAACACGTTCGCGTGACCCATCCGGATAGACGGCGTTAGCACGAGGCAGCCGTGCTGCTGTTGGGTCACTTGAATGACCTGGTCGCGACCTCGGAACTTCCACGTGCAAATCAAAGGCAACCTTGGACAGGTGTCGCGAAAGGTTGTTCATGGAGCATGCAGTCGTCTTGGCCGGTTCGTCGCAAGCTCTATCCAGCCAACAATGATCTCTGCCAACGACACATGTGACAAGAAGCCCTCTTCCCAACCGCAGTGCTGTCCCTTGAGTAAGTTCGTCGAATTCCTTGGAAAGCGTGCTGTATCTGGCGCACCGTGTTCACTCGTCTTGACATTTTCGCAACGCCACGACAGAGCGCTGTCTAGACCGCCTTCACAAGTGTGAACTATTTCGCCGCTCGTTGTGGAAACGTCGTTCGAATCCCGATATTGCCTGAAACTACTTCCATTGTGGGACGAATGCGGAGGTGGGAAACATGTGCACTAGAGGAAAAGGTGCTGGTGTCATCACTCGTCCGACCGTCGCATGCCCTACTCGACGCGACATGTTTCAGTTGTCGATCTCTACCACGACATCGTGTGCTGTGTTGGCGTGTATGGAACGCAATAATATGTAAGGTACGTCCACAATAGTTGGAATCGGCGCGTGAAACGAATCGATGGGCGATCAAGTCCCCCCTACGATCTGGCTGACATCATACCCAAGAAGCGCTGTGGACTCACCACTGGAGCTCTCGCATTGCAGCGAAGGATGGAGGCGCTTCCGTCCACATCGCAAAAAAACGCCGAGGTCGATGCACCGTGTGCCCGAATCGACCGAATGGAGGAGAGGTGTCGGTTACGTCGTGAAAAAACCGCTCGCACGGCGACCCTTCGAGGATGAAACCGCCACGTATCCAGGTGCTAATTTATGGCCGTTGTCACGCCACTGCCATTGCTCAACTGCATGCTCCCGCCTCTCGACACGTCAAAGCTCTTCGACCGTGGCGTGCCAGCCTGGTTCACTCGGGTCGTCCTGCCCTGCGCAGGCACGATCTACCTCTTGTGCACCGTCGGGACGAGTTTTGCATACCTGATTGTGCTGGTCGAGTATGTCTCCAACGACTTTTGGTGGCGCGAATTCAACACAACGGGTGGCCAAACGTACCTAGCGGATCTTTTCAATGCCAAGCTCATCCTCGACGTATCCGGGCCGTTTGATATGTTCGATAGCGAGTCCGCCATGCTCGGCAACTACTCGGCCATCAATACGTTCGTGAACATGCGGGCGGTGGCCGCGCGCCGGTGGATGCTCGAGCCGCTGCCGTTGGACGTCGCGGTCACGACGCTGCGAAAGAACAGCTTGTACGAGAATGTTTTCACGGTCATCTCGCACTGTTGGGTTGACTTTAACAGGCACTTTGAAATGGCACACTCGCCCTTGCGCCAGCAGCGATGCGCCAACCGGCAACAGGACAACGCCGCCATGTACTTGGAATCGCTTTTGCGAAACGTCAACTCGTCCGACCTGACCGAGTCATCGTTTGGCCATTCGATCAACCAGACGATCTTGACGCCGATGTTGGACATGGCGGGTGGCCCAGCGTGGGTCCATCAACTCGTCGCGATGTCCGAGTGGCTGTCCGTCAAGGACGAAGTCGAGTGGTGGCACGAGCACGGCCTAGCGCACTGGACAATCCAGATGCAGAACCGGTTCCAGCTCGGATTTGAAGATAGCATCACGATCGTGAACGCGCTCGGGGTTGTTCAGCCGATCACAGTGTCGTCCTGGCCGTATATGTATCGTGGTTTGGCGTCGTGGTCAACAAGCCGTTCCGCCGTCGGCCTCTGGAATGACCTGAGCGTGTGCACGTACTACGGGTGCAGTTTGGTGCTCAATTCGAATGCGTCGCTCCCTGCCATGGGCATGGACTGGGACGTCGAGTACAACGGCCCTGCCTCCACCGTTGGCATGCAACTCATCCGGTCCGAGATCGGACCGTTGATGGGGTTCGATTTGTACCACGTCCGGCCACCGGCGTCGGTCGTGGCCATCTTCTCGACGTTCCAGCGTCAGTTCCTGCACGCACTGACGGAATCGTCCGAGCTCCTCGACGGATTCAACCAGCTCACAGACCCCGTCATCGACGTGGTCCCGGCAAATTGGCGCGCGCCCAACTTGGCGTTCTACGGAGGAAGTCCGCTGTGCCTGTCGTTTGCGGACCCACAACCGTTCCCGCAAATGCCCTTGGCGTACAACGATGGGTGCCAGAATCAAGATCCGTTCGTGATCGAGTTCGATCGCTTGAACGTGGTCTTTGCCATGATTGTGCTGGCATTCAACGGCGGCGACATTCCTGCCGTGTGTGCCATGAGTCCTGCGCGCGCCGCCCTTTGCCACGAGACACTCGCAAAAGCAGCAACGCTGCTACCGCTCTTGCACACTGTCAAGCGAGAGGTCGGGCCTCTTGTCGCAAAGGCAAACGTCGACGTCCAGGCGCTGAGGGTGCAATTCATGCAAATGGCGGTCCAAAATGGCTCGACGAACGTCCTGGTGACCCAGGACGTTGTGCCTGCTTCTTCGTCCGACCCGTGGTCGCTCATGGGGTGGCTGACGATGTACGACTGGGTCAACGGCACCCGCGAAGTGTACAACGTCGAGGGCGACCACGGCAACCTAACTTTAATGTCGGGGCGGGTGCCGTACGTGCGTTTTGTGGTGAACCCGGAAGAGCTTCCGCGCAAAGCGTGTGTGTACTTTTGGTATTTGGTCGTGTACTCCACGGCCATGTCTACGGTCGTGGCGGTCGCGATGACGCTGCTTGGTGTGGTCGCCAAGTTTCAAATCGACGGCGCCAACCTGTTTCAGTACAATCGGGTATTCGGCAGTGTCTGGATCGGTCGACCGCTCATGTTTATTCGGGGCATCACGGCCGTCATCATCCTGAGCACGTCGACGACGGCGCTGCACGTGGGCAACCAGGTCACGGCATTCCACAACTACGATCGGTCGCCCGTCGAGCGACTGCTTTTGTCGAGTGAGACCTTGTGGCTGCAGTACGTCCTGAACGATGTGCTGCTGCCTCTGACCCAAACGCATTCTCGCGACTATGCCGCTCTTGGGAGCTGTCTCGGGTTCATTGCAGTGATGTCCGTCGAGTTGGCGTCGCCATACGTCGCACACGCAACGATCGAACGGACATGCTCCATCACAAGCTTTCGCCGCGGAATCAAGTGCACGAGTGGGACAATTGAAATCGGCAGCTTTGGCCGCGTGTGCGTCTTGTTTTCGATCCATGCCGCGTGCGCTGTCGTAGCGTACTGCGTCGTCCGCGCCTGCCGCTTCTTGCTGCACAAACCGCGGCCCAAGGGGACTGCGACCAACCACGCCCTTATCCCAGCCGCCACGGAAGCGTTTTGCATGCCGTCGGCTGCCGCAACGTCGTGGCACTTGGACGTCATGACGTGCATCATGTCGGGCATGGTTCCGGTCCACAATTGGCTGTTTGACTTTAAAACGTGGGGACTTGTCAAGGGCGAATCCGCCACCGGCCATACGTTCGACGTGCCCCGGTTCGTCGTGCCCCCCGGCAATGGTCCTGTCCCGACGTTTGGCACCCAACACGCTTGGCTTGGTTTCCTCAGCTTGATGTACATGACGACGTCGATTGCGGGCAGCTACACGTTTTTGGAATTGACGAAATCCGCCATGGCGAACGACTTTTGGTGGGCTTCTTTTGACACAGACACCCACGTGTACGTGTGCAACTGGTTCAACAGCATGCTCCAGGTCACGTCCGCCATGTCCAACATCCAGATCCACACGGCCGACCACGCGGCGATGGCGACGACGACCAACATGACCGCGTCCGTTGTCGCGGTGTCGCCGCTGTACGCAATCGCAGTCCAAGATGCTGCCAATTCGCTCGCGAACGTCATTCAGGGCCTGCGAAGCATGGACGGGTGCATGGTGCCGTGGATCATGACCACGTATTGCTACGTGGACTTTGGACGGCGGTGGGAGATGGCGCCGTCCGAACAGCGGCAAGCGCGGTGTGTGGCGGACGCGCGGGATGGCGCCGTGTACTTGGAATCGATGGTCCGGAATGCCAACTTGGCGAGTTTGATGCAGTGCTGGGGCGATCCGTTGGACGTGGGGGTGTTTTCGTACTTGAAGACGAGTGCCGAAGGGATCCAGTGGCTGGACGCATCCGTTCGCAGGCCCGCCAACACAGTCGCGGACGAAGAACGGCTCTGGCAATCCCATGGCATCGCGACGTTCACGACGCAGTGGCAAAACTTCAAGACGCTTGGCATCGTCGAGTCGTTTTCGATTCAAAACGCCTTTGGATGGAACTACCCCATCACACTCAAAACATCCAACGGATCGTTCCAGTTCCCAGTCCAAACCACATTCAAGATGGCGTGGCCATTGGCGTGCGACCTCACGCTGCTCATGCTGAACACGAGCGTCACGAGCGGAAAGAGCCTGCTCCGCGTCAGCGGCAACTTTGCCTACCACAACGTGAGTGTGGAAACCATCTATGCGTTGGAGGGCGTCCTCCCGAGCCCGTTGGGGCCAGGAATGTCGTTGTTGCGGTCGGTGCTCGGTCCGTTTGGGCAAGTCAAGATGAAGCGGGTCGCATGTCCTTCCGCGCTGCGATCGCTGTACCTCGAGCTGTCGAATCAACTCAAGCACTGGCTTGGCATGGACGCCGCGATCCAAGAAGCGTTCTGGTCCATCTACTTTTCGTTTACGATGCAGCCCGTGGTGAAGGCGTGGACGGGATGGAGCCACCGCGGCGGCAACATTTTGTGTGAACCCGACCCGAATTTTCTCTCGATGGACGACCGCCCGTGCGTTTCGTTCAGCTACCGCGGGCTCTGCGGCATCGGATTGCAAGACACTCTCACGGTGGACACGAGCGGTCTGGTCAAGGCAGTGCTCGCGACCCCCTCGCTCAACGCCACAGCCGCAACAGCCCTCGAGTACGACTCCCCCGACTCGTCGTTCAAGTTCATTTCAAACGCCCAAGCGTTCGTCGCGGCGGCATCTTTCCCACCCGACGTGTTAAACTCGTTGCGCCACCAAGCGCAGCAGGTCAAGCAGACACTCCGAGACGATGTCGCGGTCACGGTCGTGCAGTATGTCGTGCCGCGCAACGGCATCGCGACCAACTACTCGTTGGCCCGCGTCAACGTGTTTGACGAAAGCGAAGCCGACTTTGAGCTGTTTGCATGGCTGTACATGTTCGACTGGGTCCAGGGCATCCGGGAGGTCGTGTCGTTCGAGGGGGACGCGACCACGATTACGTCCATGTCGACGACGACTGTGAACGAAGAATTGCCCGTGAACCCGATGGAAGTTCCGCTGAACGTGGCGTTCTACATGCGATGGCTGTTGCAGTACATCACGTTGGTTATGCTGTGTGTGGCGTGTGTGGTGTGCGTTTACATTGTGATGCTCAAGGGCCAAGTCGAAGCTGCCAACATGACGTCGTTCAGTCGAGTTGCGTCGCTCGTCTGGATCGGCCGACCGCTCATTCTCCTGCGCGCGTTCTGTGCAATCTGCTTGCTCTCAACATCGTCGTTGGTCCTCGTGCGCCCGCTCCAAGGACTTGTGTCCTTCTTCCATTTCGACAGAAAGCCATGGTACATGGTGATCCTGACGGCGGGCGAACTCAACTGGATGACCTACATCATCAACGACGTCTTCTCCGTGCTCACGCACCAGTACACGCAAAAGTATTCGTGGACGAGTTTCATTGTCGTGTGGGTGGCGTCGGCTATATGGGAGTTTGCGTCGCCGGCGTCCTACTCTGTCGTGGTGGAACGGGTGTGTACCGTGGCTCAAGTGGATTTCCAAGTGATCTGCCACGGAGGGACGATTGAGATCGGCAGTGTCGGCCGCTTCACCTTGTTGCTGGGGCTCGTGTTTGGTTACTGCGCGTTGTGCTTTGTTTTGGTGCTGTGGCGTTTCCCTCGCGCGACGACTCGATCCAAGACCACATCGGTGTTCTTGTACACGTCTGCGAAGCATCAATTCGTCGCGTCCAAGTGGGTCTACCAAGGCACACAGTATGTGGACAAAGCGTCTGCTGTGCTCACAGGTATCCTCTCTGTGGAGGTTCGCGCGGTGCTGTACTTGTTCGACATCAAGACGTGGCGCATCTACACCATGCCTCTCGAACAGCTCGGAACACTGGATCGAGGCCTCCCGCCACATCTAACGGCGGCGTTGCCGCTGATCGATGGGTGATTGTTCTCGTCATTGACCTTTTTTTCATTTCTCATAATTAGCCAATCACCGTGCAATTCAAGTTGTATTTACCAATCAGGAACGATACCAGTTATTTTGGCCAATTGTGCAATTCCATCAAAAGCTCCTATTTTATCCAATGAAAGGGTTTTATGATGATAATTATAGCGAATCAAAACGCGCACAATATACTCAAAATCTCTCCGATCATGGCGGCACAAAGCAAGCTTGCCGGCGGCGCGGCGCTTGCTGTGATCGCCCTGGCGCTGGCCATCCGCGAGAAAGGGCAAAAAGAGGCTGAGATTGCATGCACCTTGAACTCGCAGTACACTCCTGAAAAGAAAAAAGGCCAGGACAAGAAAGTCGCGATCAACAAGGTACATGGTCTGTCGACCGTACCTTTGCTGCAGTCGTCGTTCCTCATGGCGCCATGTCGTCCAGGACTTTCTTGATCGGTTCATTCGACTCTTTCGCATCATTGTGCCAGGGCTATGGACACCGGAAGTGGCGTATGCGCTGCTTGTTGCGGGATTGCTCACAGCGCGCACCACGTTTGACATTACGATCTTGCACATGATGACCTCCATCGAGCGCGCGATGTACGTCTCCATCGCACCGATGCGTTTTACACCCTGTATAGTATCAGCGGATGCCGCAAGGACTTTATTCATCACCTGTCGCGGTTTCTCCTGGTGATGCTACCCGTCTCGGTGGTCAACTGCCTGCTCAAGTACGGACAAACGGAGCTCAGCTTGCGTTTCCGCACGCGCCTGTCGACGTATCTGTATGCGAAGTACCTCCACGAGTACACGTACTACAAGGTGTCGAACCTCGACACGCGCATCTCGAACCCCGACCAGCTCCTGACGGTGACGCCCTCTCTCTTCGTTGTCCGAAGGAGGCTCACATGCATGCCTGGACCAGGTCGATGTCGAGCGCTTTGCCACGTCTGTCTCTGACTTGTACTCGAACGTGACCAAGCCGGTGCTCGACATTTCCATCTACGCGTTCAAACTTGCTGGAACGATCGGGTTGTCGGGCCCCACAACCATGCTCAGCTACTTGGTCGGGTCTGGGGTGTTCCTGACGTGGTTACGGCAGCCCACGGGGCGCTTTACGATCGCTGAACAACGTCTGGAAGGCAACTACCGCTTTGTGAACGCCCGATTGATCACACATAGCGAAGGTACTGTCGTCGGCGCGCCGTGACCCGCGAGGATGACGGTTGCCCCGATAGAAATCGCATTCTACCACGGCAACGAGCGCGAGCATTCGATCGTGCAGTCGTCGTACGATGCGCTGATCCAGTTGATTCGGCAGGCGCAGCAGTTCCGCTTCTCCGTCAGCGTCATCGACAACGTCGTTGCCAAGGTAATCGTCGCCGAGCCACGAACATGCATCATGCTCCACCCTAGTACTTTGCAACAGTGGTCGGGTTTCTACTCGTGTCGCGGCCGTTCCTGGACGCATCGGACCCGCGCCACGCGACGTCGTCGCACGCCGAGCGCATGCAGGACTACTTTCGATCGGGCAAGATGGTATGCGATCCCGTTGTCCATCCGCGGTTGATTCGCGTCTAGTTGATGAAGCTGGCCGAAGCGATGGGTCGCCTCGTCCTCTCTGGGCGGGAGCTCACACGACTCGCTGGCTTTACGCTGCGCGTGACCGACATGATTCAAGTCCTGGACGATCTCCATGCCGGCAACTACAAACGTACGATGATCCAAAGCAGCAGCGGCAACACGAACGCCCCTGGCGTGATCGAGTACAAGGACAACGTGATCGAGTTTGAGGTGGGGACAGCGCAATGGCCATCGCCGACTCACCGACTCTGGCAGAACGTGCCGCTCATGACGCCCAACGGCGACGTCCTTGTCCCTTCGCTCTCGTTCAAGGTGCTTGCCACCATACGCCAGACAGATCGTCGTCATGGAATGGCCAGGTCGAGTCGGGCATGAACGTAGTCGTGTGCGGTCCGAACGGGTGCGGAAAAAGCTCCCTCTTTCGCCTCCTCGGAGAACTCTGGCCCGTCTTTGGCGGCAAGGTGCGTCGCCGCGTCCGTTTTGTCGTACCTCGACGGCTTTTGCTGTAGCTGGTGAAGCCCGCTCGCAGCAAGCTCTTTTACATCCCTCAGCGCCCGTACTTGACGCTTGGTTTGTTTGTTCGTGCAATCGCACGTGACCACGTCGTCGTGGTAGGATCGTTACGCGACCAGATCTTGTACCCAGACAGTGTCGACAAGATGGTGGCCGCCGGCCGCACGGACGCCGACTTGCTGGCGCTGCTGCAGCTGGTCCAACTCGAGTACTTGATCGACGGTACAGCCTCGTCGACACCCGCGCGTTGGGTAAGCGTTCCGTTAGTGGATGGGTGGGATGCCATCAAGGACTGGGCGGACGTGTTGAGTGGCGGCGAGAAGCAGCGGCTGGCCATGGCGAGGTGGGTACCGCGGGTGTCGACGGCCTGTAGTACGTCCGTTTGTAGGCTGTTTTACCACGCCCCGCAGTTTGCCATCTTGGACGAATGCACGTCGGCCGTCAGCGTCGACGTTGAAGGACTCATGTATGCGTACTGCAAGTCGCAACGCATCACGCTCTTCACGGTGTCGCATCGCCAGTCGCTGTGGAAATACCACGACTATGTCCTTCAAGTACCGTGGCTATGCCTTCTTGCAGCCCTCACGACCGTGTGTGCTAGTTTGATGGCCAAGGAGCGTACAGCTTTCGCAAGATTCTCCCGTCCGACGTCGCACTTGGTTCGTAGTCAGTGCGTCCACCCGCGCATGCAGCGTAGTTTCGTCCATGTGTTGCCATGGAATACATGCCCTTTGCATTCAATCGCTGCAAACCATCCCATCCTTGACTCCGCTACACGCGAGAGCATCCCGCGCATGTCGGTATATCCGCGGCCGTTGACCTCTGTTCTACTTGTTGATTCCAACTCTACCCGCGGTGCATGTGACCTGAGCTTGCACGGACCACTCGGTTTTGAACGTGCGAATGTTTGAACGGCGGCAACCCCATGCCATCATGTTTACGCGGCTGCTTCGGACGGTGCTGGCGCGTCGTGGGTGTCTTCGAGCTTCCGCTTGGCCGCAGAGGAAGGCGGCGCTGGTGCCATCAACGCGTTTTTCTGAATGACAAACAAGCCGACGCCCAGGCCGCCAATGTTGACCTGCAGCTCTTCCTTGATCGTCAACGACGGGACGAGGCGCACGGAATGGACCACGAGTTTCTTGGACATGGCAAGGAGCACTGCATCACACACATGAGAAAAAGTCGGCGGGGTTGAGTTTTGTACCAGCGACGCCACCAGGACGCAGCACCCGCGCCATGTCGCCTATGGCTTTCGGGTACAGCCGCGCATTCTTGACTGGATTGCCGCATCGCATCCCGAATGGCATGTCGACCAGGATGCGATCGACTGAATTGGGTCGAAGCGGCAGCTTTTCCGCCGACCACTGGCAGATCGCTGCGCGGTGGCATTTGAAGTTGACATGGGCTTGGGCGATGGCTTCGCTACTGACGTCCCCACCAATACCAAACACGGACGGCCCTACGAAGACGGCGGTCGTGACTTGTACTCGACGATGTGATCGACGGTACCCCACAGCACGGCACAAGCAGGAAGGGTCCCGACGCCGCACATGCAGTCCAACACAACATCCCCAGCGTCGCATTTGGCCAGCTGGAGCATCATGTAGGCCGTGCTCGGTCGCAATGTTGAGATGTAGTCGAGGGATGCGAGGCGGCAAGGTTCCGGAGCGAGCCGACCGCCCCGAAAGTTGACGGTCTTGGAATTCTCCGCCAAAGATAGGCCTAGACGTCGTACGTGGAAAATAGCGAAAGCGGCGCATCCCACCGAGAACGACGTGGTGGTGCAAGACAAGTGCGACCACTTCCACGTTGAAGTCGACGAGGGACACAGTCCAACCCGTCTGCCGCTTCAGCACCGCCGCGCCAACTTCCCCTGCAATCGTTTCGGAAGAGTAGGCATGCTTGCCGTCTCGAACACAGGACGCGCGGAAGCGAAGGCCGTCGGTGGCAGCGTTTTCGCGACCCGACCTCCACACCGCGACGGAGTCTTTCCAGACCGGTGCGTGCTCCACCAGAGCCTGTGGATAAAGGGGGAGGTAAGGCGCGCCGTGAATAAGACGAGTACCCACGCCAATTTGCGCGAGACCAGCGGGTGTATCTGTGTCGATGTCTGACGCATGGGCGACGTAGGCGAGACATGCCTGCCACGGCGACTCGTTAGGCGTTGCACAACCAGCACGATTGGCACTCACTTGGATCGAACAGAGGGACTTTACATCCACTTGCGGCGACGTGGTATGCAGAAGAATCTTCCCGACGGCAGCTTCGCCTCGTTCGACGTCCATGCGAGGCTTGGACGGATCGGGTTGAAGTGTTAACACCTCGATGGAGGCAATCTACGACATCGATGGTGCATGTCAGCCTAGTACAGAGAGTTTTTTCTACATGGAGCTTCTCCTGGATCTCCGTGACTGCCACATGCTCCAGGCCGCGGATCACCAGGAGGACGTACGCCGCCGTCATGTTGCTCAAGGGGGATCGACGACCCAACACTCTGGATCATGACCGTCATTCCGATGTCACGTTTAACTTTAAAACGCAACACCGATGCACGTTATATCCATAAAATCGCGTTTTTAGCAGTTTCGACGTCTTTGAAGTTGATTGGTTCGAGCGAAAACGCAATTTGATTGGCTGGATTTGAACGAAGTAGCGATTTGATTGGTTCATGGCCATTGAGTTTCTCGACCAACAATTTGCGTGTTAAATTCCAAACATGTTGGCGGCGGCGAGTCTGTGGAAGCGCGCGGCGGCGGCGGCGGCGCGGCCAACAGCGACGACCTTTCGTGCATTCCACGCTACTCCGGTCGTTCTCAAGAGAAAAGATGGAGCGTCTGCGTCCGTGGTCAAGATCCCACGGTTGTACACGAAGACGCTGACAAAGCAGGAGAAGAAGAAAAAGGACATCTCACGCGGCCACAAGGACCTTGCCTGGCGCATGCGTGATGCCAAGCGCAAGCAAAAGGAACTTTTGAAGCAAGAGGCTGCGTATGCCGAGTTTGAGCAGGACACGGAGCTTCTCAAGGAGTACGACCTCGCCTTTGACGAAATCATGAATTCGGGTGCGTTGGTGGTTGCAGGACGACGGAACTGACGGTTGCTGCAGGTCGCCACCGCGAGTACTTGTACAACGACATCATGGATGTGACATTGCGCGACATGAATCCAGATGAAATCGCCGAGTCGTTCTACCGGCTCAAGTCGAAGGACCAAACGATCGAACAACTCCACGACATGATGCGAGTGTACGCTATCCACAAGCGTGCGGACGAGGTCCAAGCGATTCTCCACCAGCTCGAGCAACACACGGATGGACCTATCCCAGCCACGGTAAGTCGACTTTGCCAACAATGTGTGTCCCGTCCTTGCTCAACTCGTGCGTGCAAAGTGGGCCACCGCACCGTCGGGTAACGACTCGGATGCTGTCCAAGTCGTCACGACCCCACGCAAGCTGTCGCCGCGATTGAAGGCCACCGAGCAAACGTATGATCTGTACATCGCCGCGCTTGCCGAAACCAAGCAGGCGGCCAAGGCGGTGCGCGTGATGGGTCGCATGAAGGAACTCGGCGTCCCCGTCACGTTGCAAACGTACAACGCCGTCATGCAGGCGTGCACGCGCAGTCGCCGCCCCGATTGGGCATACAACGTACGTGGCATCGATGATGGCGGTCCCCGTCACTCTGGTCTAGATCTTTGAGAAAATGCAAGCGAACGGGATTCAGCCAAACGTGGTGTCGTTCACGATCCTCATGAACGCATCGATCGCGGTCGGCGACATCGACCGCGCGTTCGAGACATTCCACATCATGCGGTCGCATGTCGCCCAGCCCAGCCTCATCACGTTCAACTCGTTGATCCACGGGTACGTTGTCGTGTTGCTGGTGCGCACCATGACTTGCTGCGCTCTTCATGTGTGCTGCATTTGAATCAAGATTCATTTGGACTTGTTGGGGGAAGAGGTTTTGTTGGGCTGTCTCGTGGTGCTTGGCTCGATGGAAGAGTCCATTTTCCGCGTTTTCCCCATGGAGTTTGACACCGCTCGCGAGTTTTTCCGGTGGTCGTGTCATGGTGGCATGACCTGTGGCTTGTAGGTATGCCAAGATCGGCCGCGTCGAGCGATGCATTAACTTGCTCGAGGACATGCTGGATTTGCAAATCACGCCCAACAACGTGACGTATGCGAGCCTCATCCACGCATGCTCCAAGTCGTTCCACTATGCGCACAAAGCGTGGGAATTTTTCTACGAAATGCAAGACAATTACGACATTGTTCCGGTGCGTCGTTCGGCCAAGACGATTCTAACTAGTCGGGTAGGACACGGTCGTGTATGGGTACATGATGAATGCGGCGGCACGTCACGGCGACCTCCGCAGCGCCGACAAGCTCGTGTACCTGATGGACAAGTATGCCGTGCCCCAGACGAATACGATCCTCGTCTCGTTGATCAATGTGTACGCACGAGCGCAGATCAAGTCGGTCGTTCGCCGGGCGCGGTGTAACATTGCACCACCAGAGCCTCTTGAACCGATCTTGCCCGCAAAGCGGTACTCGGAACTCGAGTGGGACGACAACGGGAACCTGATCGACTTGGACCGTCCCGGCAAGCAAGAGTACCGCGACGTGCTCGCTTTGAAAGTCACTCTCACTCGAATTGTGCTAGCGTGTATTCGAACCACAACATGGGCTACGACGACGAAGAGGATGACGACGACGATTTTGACGATGAAGATAGCTACGACAATCTCAAACTCCGCGACAACGACGATGTCGTCGACAGCGCACTCAACTCGATCAAGACCAAGGGCCTCTCCGCCGAGGACCAGGAAGCGCTCAAGAAGTACTTGGTACGGCATGCATCTTTATTGGATCATGATGTCCATCCTGTTCGTTTGTCCTGGGCAAAGTGTGTCTCAAGTCGGTTCTAGTCGGACCGGAACCGAATCCCGGTGCCACGGTACATTCTGGGCCCGACGCCGCCAGCCGAGGACGAAGACCCGGCCGACGTCGACTCCCTCGCGTGGAATCCGCTTCCGATGGAAGAATTCAACCAGTTTCAAAACTCGAACCGAGACCAAGCGATCAAAGTGTACCACAAGTGCCTCGAGTTGCACGGTCCGTCCGTCGCGTTGCTCAACACGATGCTGAGCGTCCACACGAACGCGCTCCGCATCCAAACGGCCAAGAAGTTTGTCGCGGAGGAATTTGCCAAGCACAACGTGACCCCAGACATATTTACGTACCGCAGCTTGATGCGCATGTACACGCGGGCGAAGCGACCGCAGATGGCCCTGGATTGCGTCCACGAGCTGCATGCAAAAGGTGCGTGGCAGGATCGCCGACGCCATCGAGTGTGACGGTGTGTTGCAGGCATCAAGCCCGACGCGACGTTCTATGGGTACTTGGTCGACTACTTTGCGTGCCAGCGCCGACTGCGTAGCGCGTTGGAAGTGCTCGAGGAAATGGATCGGTATGGCCTCGCGCTGCCGGAAGCGAACGCCTACGTTCTTCGAAAACTCGTCAAGAAGTACGGAATCTACACAGAGCTCCTGTCCGAGGACCCGAACGCGATTCACAGCATGAGCCACGCCGACCTCATGGACATGCGACGCACCCGCGCGGCCGCGATCGCCGACAACAAAAAGTACAATCGCAAGTTTTACATTCCTCGGCGCTCCGAGTTGGAAGTGCTTTAAGTAATGCACCCCCCCCCTTCCCTCGCACCACGTCATCCTCCATCTTGTGGACGAATTCGCCGAAAGGCTGTGTCGTTGTTCGACAAGGGCTCCGCGTGCGCGACATGCGGCGGCAACTCCGTCAAGGCCAACTTGGCTCGATGTAGAAAACACCCGCCGCTACTTGACGTCCATGGGGTGCACAGTGTCGGTGTACATGACGAGTCCGGTGACGACGGTGGAAGCCTTGTCGATGCACTGGACACCACGGGTGGATCCGAACCCGATGAGTGGTGCTGGCAGTCAACAAGTGCAACGACGGCTTCTGCTAGACCAACGGCGCCAGCGATACCGCACCGCTCCGTCCCAACGCATCCAAACATGACGTCGGTGGCTGATGACGCCAATGGCAACAGCCACTCGTCCGTTGTTGTCACGGGGTTGGACTCGGACGAAGCGCATGGCGATGCCGTGATGGGCGTCGGGGTGATTGTGCCACGTGCTTTTGTTGGCTTCGTTACGTGCTGCACTTGACAGAGCGAACAAGACCAGTTCGGCGACAAACGGTCCATCGGCTGACATGTCGAAGCGGACGTCGACATCACTCGATCCCGCCCAATGCGCCGTACTACGGCGGTAGCCCCTTCTGTGTCGATCCTTCCGTTCCCTTCATTGCCATCGCGTCCTCTTCGCTCCATCGTCGGTGTGCTATGATCGCAACGAATGTCGTCGGATCGTTGTCCATGGACACGTCCGTCCACAGATCCTTGGCGTTGGTGTCAGTCGACGCTTGTCGCACACTCGGTGCCGACATCGCGGTCCTGCCGGGCCTTGCTGTCGTCAAGTACGTGGCGGCCTCTTGTGCCTCTGTCACGGCTAGCAGGTTGGCTTTTGCCATCGTCCCAAGGTGGACCCGGCTCGGAATTGTTTCAGTCCAACCGCGTGCGTGGCAGAACCTGGTTCCGGTCGATTGCGACGCATCACGGCCGTCGTCATGCATGGCGAGCACGAGCATCACGAACACTCCACGGACATTGTGGAGTTGGTGTCTGCGTGGAATCGATCAACGTCCTGCTCGACGTCGTGGTTTCGAGGTCACGCGGACATGTGCCAAAGCGATCGGGCAGACGGGGCCTGGCGAGAATCTCGGGGTCTGTCGTCGGGCCTTGTCTGCCCGATCCATCTCCAAGCGCAGACGTACACGTTGAGCGTAGTCACGTACCTGTCGACGTGTGTCCTCAACTGGTCGCGTCGTTGAAATCAGCAGCAGACGCTGCCGATTTCGTACGTCGGTGCTCGGCTGTACGAGTTACGGTGTCATCGGGAGCACATCGCTCGGCGACAACCTCGCTCGTTCCTGCCGGCCAAGCGATATTTCTGGACATTCATGGGCGTTGCTGCCATCGAAAGGCCGGGAGAGTAGTCGGCCTTGTGCGAGTTTGCGATGCCGTTTGTCGTGCAGCTCCACCGTGCATGCGACGTCGATGGAGACGACTTTCAGGCCATGGTGGGGCCGTCGCCACCAGCGCCATGGTACAAGTTGCAGGAATCGTGTGTGGGTGCTGTGGCGTACGGAGCGGGGCGATACCGACAACGTTCCAAAACAACCGTTTGCAATTTCTTTTGCGGCCACCCACCACCACGCTTGCGGGGGTCTATCGCAGCATGCACAATATCCACAAGACGTCTGCGATCTCCCTGGACACTCGTCATGAGCACCCTTCGACACATCAAATTGTCGCTTTTGGTACTTCCATGACCCGAGCCAAACGATTCCTCCCAGTTCCTTCGGCGGACGCTGTGCCGTGTGTTGCATAATCATCGACGGTTGACATCCGAGGTTTCGCCAGAACGGACCTAGTTTGCCTGACACTGCCATTCACACCGCATTCAAACGCAAGTGACGAAGCACCTTGGTCGTCCAGCCAACACCAGTTGCATTCATGAGGTATGCAGTGGACGAAGACAAATGGACAGCATGACGTGGCATCGTCGGGGGACAGAGATGAGAACGATGTGGGTCATCCAAGCGTCAAGTTCATGGCGAAAGAGGAGGAGGGCATAACTTGGCGAGCATGGGTAGCTGAACGAAGTCAGCTGCCGCGACGACGTGCATGTCACACCAGCGTGTCGCCGAGGTGAACACCATATTCATCCACCACCATCCATTCTGTGGATAGCCAACAAGATCGACCTTGTTCAAAACGCAGCACGCGCGGATGGCAACGAATCGCTTCCTCCATTACTGAAACGTGACAACTCCAAGATTCCGGTCGTGCGAGACGGTCACGATGGCGTTTTGAGTTGCGTGCCAGAGCCCATGGAGGACCTTGGCCTGGTGCATGCTGACCGTTTGATGGGGCGGTTCGACCCGTCGGCATGCGCGCAAGTCCCAGATGAACAAATCGCCGACCGTGCTTCCACACGAAACGTGCATGCCTAGACAAAAGATCACGAACAAACCTTTGACGCAAACGAGTCTTGCGTACCGGCAGACGACCACCGAGGAGTAATGTGCTGGCTCATCGCTTTGTTCTGAAGCTTGTGCCACACCATGGACGGCATGTTGTCGTTCGAGCGCTGTCGGAGATCGTGAAACATCATGACTTGGTTGCCCGGGTTCACACACGAGTACATGAGCAAGTGCGGGTTTGCCGGATGTTCGGCAATCGCGTTGATCTTTGAAATGACAGGCTTCCGCCACTCCCGCACGACCGACACGGTTTGCGTGTGCAGGTCAAACTTGGCGACAACGCTATCCGCGACAACGTGAGCTCGTTTTGATATCCGTCGAACGTGTGTGTACCCGTCCAGGGCCCCGGAAAAGACAGCATTGCCGGAACTGTGCGGGCACACTGCGCGAATTTCACTGCGATGATGTTGATGCAAGGTCTGGACTTGGCGGGTCGCATGGTTCCAGCACACGACCTTATGCTTGGCGCCACCCGTCACAAAATACGCTTCGTCCAGCCATCCGATACACGACACACCCCTACGCGCGATTCAACCATCGTCACGCAAAGACATTCCAACACACGTGGACGCACTTGGGATGGAGAGATGTGTCGGCCTGCCACACAGTCGTCGGTGGCAAATGGATTTTCGCATCCGAATCCCATTCTGCGATGCAAATGCCGCCTTTGTCGTGGATCGGATCCCGAAACGCCATGGCCAACTTGGATCGAGTCGAATTCCACGCCAGGCCTTCGACGCATGCGTTTGTCTTTCGTAGCGTCGTCGACGGCACACAGGAAATCGGTGACAATGTCCGACGGGTGGGTTGGTAGTGCCAAAGCCGAAGCATGCCTTCGTCGGACGTGGTGGCGAGGATGTCAGGCAGGTTGGCGTGAAATGCCGAGCACCGCACTTTCCGATCACACTGGTCGGGGACCAACGTCGTGCGCGGCTGACCGAGGATTTTGCATTTGTCTGTTGTGGACCAGAAGCGATCGGGATATCGAGAGGACGATCCAGACCGTCGAGACGAACTTCCAGCGTCTGCAGACGACGTCGTCTCCAATGGGACGACTCGAGGTCGCACGGGACCCGATACAACAGTGACGTCATTAGCCGAATGACGTGGGGTACGAGGCGTTTGAGGCATAGGGGACGGGGGAGCAGTCGTTGGTGGTGGTGAAGGTGCAATCGCGGTCGACGAGGACGACCGTGTACCTCGCACATCTCGGGATGGCTCAGGAGACGATGGTGCGGTCTTCTTCGACGGCGGCGCTCCTTCCAGCGGTGTGAGATCTGCACCGCGCTTGTACTGTCGAAAGACTTCCATTCGCTTCAGCAAACTATCGCGCTGGATCTGCAAATCTTGTCGTTCATATTGCTGTCGTTTCAACAGCTCTGTGTGTCGTTCCATCGCTCGTCGATGATTCAGGATATGCATCTCTTGCTCCTGGATGGCCAGTTCACACAACTTGATTGCTTCATTGCTTTCATGCAGCTCGCGCTCCATCTGGGACCCGTCTGGCCTCGACAGCATGGCGCCGCCGTTGCCCTTTGCCTTTCCCGCCATTTTGTCCAGTTAGTTGGGTCCATGGACCATATTTAATTTCAACCAATCAAATCGCACGTACAACTTTGCCTTTAACGCAAGCCAAGCCTGCGTTAAACCTATTTAACACATCTCCGGGCTTCATTGATTTACCAGGTACATTGTCAATGTCTCAACGTATTGCACATTCGCTGAGTTGAACTGATTATTATTGCTGTTTTGTTCAACAAATATTAGTCAATATTTGGTGTTTTGACCAAGTGAAGCAATTTATTTTTTGGAACAAAGAAGAGGTTGTATTTTTATCGTCAGTTGTATGTTAAAACGATGTACTAGTATACCCTTTGTGGAAACAAAATCCGAGGTCGTCGTGTATGTCATATCCGACATTTATCACGAAGATTTCAATGTGCGCATATAATTATTTCGCGCACTGTACAATTGGAGGTGACGATTCCTCTACAACTGCCACATATTTGTTTGAGATCAACCTGATCTATATTACTCAGTACAAAGAGCGCAACAACATCTACAAAACCACGAAATATATTGAAAATTTGTAATTCTAAGGGAAAATTGGGCTGGAAGGTGTTTTGAACAATCCATCGATATCAGACGTTTTCTACAGCGTTTCAAACATGTCCCGACCAAGGTCACACACATTCCCGAGGAATTCCCTTCAGTAGCATGTACGCAGGGCATGCCAACTTGCTGTTGCTCATGTTGGATTAAAAGATTGATACGAAAGCGATTGAGACGCTGCTCTGCTATCGCAGCCTGCTGTCGCCAATCTTTATCGGAAACGAGAATTCAAGGGGTGTGTATGGAACGTTTTTAAAACACAGGTGGTGCTCAAAGTGCGTTTGAAACTCGTTCAAGACATTCGTTTTTGGCCGAAACGACCAGTTCGCAAGTGTAACAATGTTGTGGCAGGTGCTTCGAGCAGCGACGGCGGCGGCGGCGCTCCTGGGCGCATCCGAGGTCGAGGGCGGCAAGCTAGCCCCCATTATCGTGCGTGGGAATCGCATGTACAATTCAGAGACAGGGGAACGCTTCTTCATCCGTGGGATCACGTACGATTATGACGTGAGCGACGCCAACTACGACTTGAGCAGACCCATCATCGAGACCAACTTGAAAGCACTCATCGGATCGTTCAACACGTTCCGTCTGTACAACGTGAACCCAGACCTCAAGTACGACAAGTTCATGAAGCACATGGACAGCTTGGGGGTGTATGTCTTGGTGTCGGGGTCGCCTGCAAACTTGGATTACTACGGCGACTACAAGTACTCGACGATCACGAAAACATGGAGTCCCGACGGCACCTCCGTGGTGGAAAACGGGGTCACGAAGCTTCAAAAGGACCAAACCAAGACGTGCTACCCCGCGTTGCTTCTCAAGTACGGCAAAAGCATCATCAAGGACTTTGCGCCGTACGATAACACGTTGGGGGTCGTTGTGGCCAACGAAATCATGCAGCATGACCTGACGGCCGCGGCTTGCGTGAAAGCATACACGTCAGATCTCAAGAACTGGATGCGCGTCAACGCCAAGAGCCTTCGTATCTTGCCGTTGGCGTACGCCGGCGCCGACAGTTCAGGCGAGCCAGTCAACGGTGGGACAAAGAAGACCCCCGAAGTATACACGGTGATGAAGATCATGGGGCTTCTGTGCGGCGACTCCATGAAGAACGGCATGATGGAGCGAAGTATCGACATCTACCTGATCAACGAGTATCGTTGGTGCAACGTGCCTGGAACATTTGCCCCGTATGAGCAATTCCTCGAGATGGCGAAGGGAGTCCCGATCGTGATGGCGCTCGGGGAGTTTGGTTGTGACACGTACACGCCCCGCACGTGGACTATGGTGCCGTACCTGTTTTCCGACTCGATCAAGTCCAAGGGCTTCACCGACGTGTACTCTGGCGGTCTCGCGTACACGTTCGGGCAGGCGTCGCTCGGCCTAGATGCCAAGTACCCTCTTTTCACAGGTCCATTTGCCGTGTTTGGCGCATTTTTAGCTTGACTTGTCTGGTTTGCGTGAGCTAGGCGGGAGCATCAAGCTCGAGGAACTTCCTGGGAAAACGCCGACGGCCGATTACACCAACTTGTTGGCGCAATTCAAAGCGAATCCGTCGGTCGTCCAGACTGGAGCGTTCACAAAGGACACGATCTGCAAATGGAATCCACCAGAACCAACGCCAGGGGCAAATCCGATCTTTGCCGTGACCAAGACGTGGATGCCCGAGTGCAAGCACCCGAGTTTGAAGCTCGATCCGACAGATAAGTGGGAAACCAACACCCGCCAGGGCGCCGTGTGCAACAAGAAGGGCGAGCAGTGCGAAGTGGTCGTCGAGACGCCGAACCCGACCACGGAAGAGTCGATTTGTGGGTTTGAGGTCAAGGTGCCGGAAGGAGGCGGGACATGCACGACCAACGAAAACTGTGGGTCCCATGGTCAGTGCATCGTTGGCGATGACAAGACCCGGTCTTGCGCGTGCATTGGGTGTTACTCGGGGTCGAACTGCGCCGTGTACAACGCGGACAAGTGCAACACACTCTCGAGCAATGCAGACGCCCCCAAGGTGATCTTCACGGCAGTTGGAGCATTTCTCGGGGTCATGCTGCTTGTGTTTGGAGGCCTTGGCATCGCGGCGGGAAAGAAGACTGCCGAGTTGCGCAAGGCGGAACAGGTCGCCAAGAACCAAATGAACTCGATTTAACCACTGCACTACACATGGAATCACGATGAGATCACGACTGGAGTTGCTAGTGCAATTGCTGGGAACTCACCTTCTTGGGCGTTTCTTCGTGGCGCTTGGGCATACAACGCGATGCAACGACAATGGATTGAGTTACATGACCAGGAACATGTTGCTGAGACGCTCTCCAGTCGCATGGATCTCGATCAGTTGCTCGCCTTTCCGAAACTCGGCGTCTTGTTCATGGTACAGCAATTCCGAGTCTTGAAATCGTGGCCAGCATGACTCAAAGAAACGCCGCAAAGATAGACTTGGGCGCGTCGGGGTTGCTCTGGAGCATGTCGCACAGAGGTTAGTCATGAACGGAGCAGTACGATGCCCTTGCAATACACATTTTGCTGTCGTACCCAGCTTCCATTGACTGTGGCCCCCGTGTCCTGCAATTGCTGCCACGTCGGGGAGCTTCGGCGTCACAGGTACAAGTTGAGGTTTCCGCCATGAAGTTTGGGTCTGTCAGCTCGACTAAAACCACCATCGCATGGGGGTACAAGGCGCGTCTTGGCGGCTGGTTGTCTTGCACTTGTCGGTTGGTGTTGGCAACAAAACTCCCGCGACTACACTGCGGCATCCACGACTTGGTTGCTTGAATCACGCAGGTTGTCGTCACTGGTGGCGCTGGCGGTGTGGACAAGTTTCCATTCGACAACTCAACAAGGTCGTGTGGCGATGGATTGGCTTTTGTGGACAATCAAGTTTGTGCAACTAGGCGCCGCAACGGTCCCGGGATGCTCTTTAAGGTCCATGCCTCCACCATCTCGACAAATGTTGGAAAACTTTTGCTGTCAGGGAACGGGAGAGTATCAGAAAAGTGCCGAAATTTGACCTGCTCGACGATCGTGAGCATGAATGGCCACCAAAAAGGCATAGATGACGCTGGATTTGGCAGAATCGGAGGGCACCATCGTCCATGTTCGCGGCACGTACGGAAACAGCATGAAAACAACCAAATTCCTCGACTGCCATCACAAGCGGAGACTCCCTTGACCATTCTAAAACACTTTGGTAGGGTCCGATTAGAACTCGTTTATGAGGTAGATCTCGATCCTTGTCTTCGTCACACCGTTCTTCATCGTGCTCTCACGTAGCAGCCCCGTCATCTTCATCACAATGTAGTCGTTTGTGCTTATTCCTTTCTGGGTTGTGACTTTGTTGCCCCCGCTGTTAGCCCAGCATTTGCCAGAGGAATGTAGCGCATGAATCGGGCGTTTCCACGCATCCAATTCTTCATGTATGTCGTGTACTACTTGACACATACTGAAGCCTCCACTTCTTGCAGCAAGATCTCGTCGGCAACGACAAAATTCTATCGTGCTTTCGAACGCTGCAGAGTATGTACTTGATCAGAAGCTGGCGAAACTCGAAGTGTTTGGTCGGGTAGCGTGACTATGTCAGGTCGTTTTGCGTTTGGATGACTCCACCCTCGATCACTAGTGATCCTTTTGGTCCCCATTCCATCGTAATGCTCGTATACTTTCCGAAGTACTCAACACGTTTGCGAGGGACGCATAGATCATGTCGAACACTCCCAGCTCGTCCATGTGCTTGATAGACTTGTCGGATGTGCGTGTTGGAACATCATTTTGTACAGCCGAAACGCATTCAATGATATCGACCGTATCCTTCAAGTTGGACGCTACAATGGGTTTTGTTCACTGCGTATTTGATGTCGCTCACTTGGTCGTCGTCCGCGATCCCTCGCATGATGAAGCATTCCTTTGTCGCAGAGTTGTACATGCGATTCCCGCCGACGATGCTAGGAGCGTACTCGCCGCCGTTCGCCGCGCACAGCAGCATCCCCGCCGTCAAGGACACCGCCCGTCGCATCGAAGCAATTCAAACACTGCCTTGACTGGTTTTCGCGCCATGTTTATCCGGATACCAACCACTACAACGATTTTATCCGGACACGATCGCGACACGACCGACGACTGCAACTCTGTTGCGACATGGACGGAGGAGTCCTGCGTCCTACGCCGTGATGCATCGACGGCGGAAATGCGGCGACGCGGCAGAGGCGCATTCGCACTGATCTCACACGTCGAAACGTTTTGCGAAGGACGCGGTTTATCGTGCCTTTAGATCACCAGCTCGTTTAGCATGGTACACGTGTGTT